AAATTAACTTAGCTATCTGGGATCTCTTGTGTTTCCATATGAATTTTATTATCATTGTTTTTCTAGATCTACAAAGAATGCCATGGTATTTTGAAGGGGATCTCATTAAATCTATAAATTGCTTTTGGTAATATGGACATTTTGATTCTTTCAATCCATGAACATGAAAGATTTTTCCATTTTTTAATGTCTTCTTCTATATGTTTCTTCAGTGTTTTATAATTTTCATTGTAGAGATCTTTGACATCTTTGGTTAAATTTATTCCACAGTATTTAATTTTTTTGGAGCTATTGTGAATGGGACTGATCTTACAAGTTCTTTCTCAGCCATGACATTGTCTGTGTATATGAAGGCTATTGATTATTCTGTGTTAATTTTATATCCTGCCAATTTAACAAACTCTTTTATGAATTCCAATAGTATCTCAATGGAGTTTTTTGGATCCTCTAAACATAGAATAATGTCATCTGCAAATAAGGGTAGTTTGATATCTTCCTTTCCAATCTGTATCCCTTTGATTTTATTTTTCTTGCCTAACGGTTCTGGCAAAAACTTCCAGGACTATATTGAATAGCAATGGTGAGAGTGGGCATCTTTGTCTGGTTCTGGATCTTCACGGGAATGGCTTCCAAATTTTCCTCATTCAGTAGGATGCTGGTCATGGGTTTATCATAAACTGTCCTGATTGTGCTGAGGAATGTTCCTTCTACACCCAATTTTCTTAAGGTTTTCATTATGAAAGAGTGTTGTGTTTTATCAAATGCTTGCTCGGCATCTATTGAGGTAACCATAGGGTTTTTGTTCTTAAGTTTCTGAATGTGATGTATCACATTGATTGATTTGCAAATATTGAAACATCTCTGCATACCAAAGATAAATCTCAGTTGGTCCAAGTGAATGATCTTTCTGATGTATAGATGGATTCGATTAGCTAATATTTTGATGAGGATTTTTACATTTATGTTCCTCAAGATATTGGTCTGTAGTTCTCTTTCTCTGTTGTTATCTTTTTCTGGCTTAGGAACTAAGGTGATGCAGCCTTCATAGAAGGATTTCCTCCCTTTCAGTTGTTTTGATTAGCTTGAGAGGAAATGGAATTAGTTCCTCTTTCAAAGTCTGCTAGAATTCAGGACTGAGATAGAATCAAAAAGGGAGAGAACGATCCATCATGGGAAGCAGGACACACAGCAGACTCATAGAATGGCAGATGTCCTAAACAGCACTCTGGCCTCAGAATCAGCCCTTAAGGCATTCAGATCTGGCTGAAAAGCCCATGAGAGTATTTTAGGCATGGAAAGCCAAGACACTCTGGCAAAAACAAAAAAAAAAACAAAAAAACAAAACAACAACAAAAAAAAAACCACCACCACCTAAATGAAAGATCTCTGCGATTTGGATCCCAGTGGAAAGAACGGGGCCATCAAAGAAGGAGGTACCTTTCTCTAAAGGGAGGAGAGAACTTCCACTTTGACTATGACCCTGTCTGAATAAGACCGAAATCGGCGAACTCAAAAGGCTTCCATAGCCTTGGCAACTCATGACTAGAGCCTAGGGAGATTACTGACTCCATAAACAAGAGTGTCAAACTGTTAAGTCAACAACAGGAGTCACTGTGTAATTACTCCTCATGTGGGATCTGTCCTTAATGTGTTGTCCGACGTGAAGTAATGCTATAACTAGTACTGAAACAGTATTTTACACTTTGTGTTTCTGTGTGGGTGCAAACTGTTGAAATCTTTACTTAATATATGCTAAATTGATCTTCTGTATATAAAGATAATTGAAAATGAATCTTGATGTTAATGGAAGGGGAGAGGGAGTGGGAGACGGGAGGGGTGTAAGTGGGAGGGAAATTATGGGGGGGGAAGCCATTATAATCCATAAACTGTACTTTGGAAATTTATATTTACTAAATAAAAAAAAAAGAATTCAGGGGTGAAGCTGCCTTGGCATGGGCTTTTCTTTGTTGAGAGTGCCATTATTACTGATCCAATTTCCATCATGGTTATTGGTCTGTTTCTATGTCTTCATGACTCAATTTTGGTAGATTGCATGTGTCTAGGAATCTAGCCATTTCTTCTAGCTTCCCAATTTGTTGGCATACAGTTCTTTGTAGTAATTCCTGATGATTCTTTTTATTTCTGTGGTATCTGTTACATTTCCTGTTTCAGTTCTGATTTTATTGATTTGTATTTTTTTTTCAGTTAGTTGGGCCAATGTTCTATCAATTTTGTTTATTTATTCAAAAAACCAGCTCTTCATATTCTTCAGCTTGTAATCCCCTCTTCGAACGTGATGTTCAATTACATCACAGAGCTGTTTTCCATTTTGTATAATTCTTAACATACTTCTCTCTTATATATATTAGTTCCTCCTAGGAACTAAGCTCCCTCAGGACTCTTGTCCTTGTTGGATGTTTTCTCTCTAAAACCCAAAATAGCCCTGGCATATAGACACTAAAGAAATAAATGTTTGCTGTGAATGTTTCATCATTATAACAACCCTCTGGGCTAAGCACTTCTACATTTTACAGATGAAGAAACCAAGTGAAAGATAACAAGTAATTTGCCGAATGGAGCTGCTAGGACGTGTGAATGAAAATCATCTTTCTATGTCTAATACATTTAAAAGAAATAGGAAAGGTTACCTCTGTTTCTTTACTTAGGATGAATGATTTCCACTTTTGCTAGAAAGATACCTTATTTTTCTTTAAATTTTCAAGAGGAGACTAAATTCAGAATGTTTTAGTATCTCAAAACTTTCACTGTCTTTTCATTCCTATTCTTAAAATTAACAAGTTCCTCTGTTGTAAAAGTATGCATTCTCTGTCCTGTCTCTGCCTCTCAAATTAAAAAAAATGCTGTGTTCTTATACATTTACCTCTCCCCATTCCTCTTATTATTTCTCTTGATTGTGGGTGCTATTTGTTTGTTTAAGGATATAATTCCCATTTCTGTCATCTTTATTGAATTTTTGACTATTCTGACTCCGTCTTTAGCTTTGTTTATGAGTATTCGGGAGGCAGTCTGTGGTAGAATCAGAAATAGGATAGGCTACACTTAGCAGCTAGGTAGCTGTGTGGCCCTGTACAAGTTACTTAGAAGTGATTTTCCTTCACAAGTGTAATCTTGATATAATTACTTTATAGGACAGTTATTAGAATCAAGGGAGGTGTATATATAAAATCCTTAGTAGTACATATCTGACACTCAGTAAACATAAGATACATCATATATATTATAATTTATGGAAAGTTTGAGTGTTAAGTAGTTATATTTATTTTTCCTTTAGCTATAGGTGATATGCTTAGGAATTACTTTTAGTTATATAAAAGTTATAAACATTTAATTATATAAAAGTTATAAAAAGTTATAAATTCTGGAACTTCTCTCATTTTATGTTTAAAATTTTTAATCCACCAGGAATTTTGCTACATATCATGATGTAATGATCAGATTACATATTTTTTCTATATGTTTAATCACTTTTCCCAGCATTTATTAGACAAAAAATCCTTTGCTTATGGACTTGAAAGGCTACTTTTTTATTTTTTAGAATTAAAAGTTGTTTCTTTCAATGCAAACATTTTTGAAAACCATGCATAAAAGAGTTCTTAAAAAAGTTCATACACTATGCATAGGTTTAAAAACTTTTTGCACCAAAATAAAAATATCTTAATTATATTTTTCCATGAAGTTTTTGAAGTACCTTTGTATTTCTTTTTTATTTTTTGATTTAATTTTTGACAGATTCATTGTGATTGCAGATACAATTCTAAGAAGATAATGATATTTACTACACACTCTCCTTCCTTCTCCTTTTTATGTTTTTAAATTAACAAATTTTAAATTTAAATTACCGTAAAAAGGCTTAATACTTCACTGAATAAGAAACTTAAATGACAACAGGTGTCAAACAAATCACGAAGACCCTAGTTTAGTGGGAATATAGACAACCGCTATAAATAATGATTGAATGGGAAAATGATCACTTCACCCATATACAGAAAATTTTAAAGTATATTTTATACAAAATCACCAAATGAATATTTACTAATTCCTGCATTTTCTCTTCTGTTTCATATATGTGGCTGTTGCTACAATGACTAACACTCTGTTTTCTTTATTGTAGTTTTATAATATGTTTTAATATATGACAGAGAAAGTACCATACCAAACCTTCCAAAGTTTCTAGGATAGGAGGATATTCTATTATATCAACATTTCTACATTAACTTTAAACTTGGCAAATTGATTATTAAATAATCCTGGCCAACCTTGAAAGTATACATAAATTTGATGGAGAATATCCTCTAATGTCTAGGATCTCCATTTAGGAATGTAGCATATTTCTTTATTCATGTTCTAAAAGGAAAGTGTTTCAGTGAAACCTCATACTTACTTTTACATAAATGGTACCTATCGCTTATTAAGATTATTAGGTATTTCATATTTGTGTTCTTGTAAATGCTATCCCTTTAACCATTTTTCTAATAATAATAGAAAAAACTAGAAATTCATTTGTTTTTTATAAATTGCTTTTATAACCAAATATCTTATTGAACTTATTTGCTCTAAATGTTTAACATGATTTTATTGAATTTTTCAAGCAGTCACATTATTTTCAAATATCATAATTCAATCATCTTGTGACGCTAATAGTTCATTTTTTTGTGGTATCACATTGCCTGCAACATTGAAAACACCATTAAGTAAAGTGCAACATTAGCAGAAATCCTTATTTTTATTTTTTTCTTTAATGATGATGTTTCCTATTTATCATGAACAGACCTCTTGTGTTTTACTATTGAGGATAATTTTAGCTCTCTTTCCAGTCCTGTATCCTTTTACACTTATCTTTAAACATGTTGCTCCTTATGCACTAATCTACAGAAACAGAACAATGGCTCATCATCTCCTTCTCCAGAGAGACAATATTTTTCTCAGTGACTATAAGTTACTTCAGTCAAAAACTGTACATGGCTACCTATATATGCTACCTTTGCAGAGGAAAGGCTGATGACGTGTTGATCTTTCTCATTGGTTACAATCTCAGTGACACTGAACATGTGTCCCACAAGTTTCCCCACTGGTTTGGTGCTGATGTTGGGGTGCCACAGACGGAGTACCTTATCTTCTCCTGAAGAAGGGAATAGGGAAAGATTATTGATTTTCTCAAGTGATCAAGTTTTAAAAGTCCCCCTTTCAATCATATCCTTCTCTTGCTCTTACTATCAAATCCCAGACAGTTTGTGATTGAGACTAGTTTGTTGTGGATCTACTGCTCCTGTCAATGCTGTTTTGTGATAATCATTTTTATACACATAAATGTGAAGTCTTATGAATATTTTATGAGTACTTTTCTTTATTCAATACTTTCCTACTCGTCCATGCATTAATGTATTATTTATACTTTATTTACTTCACAAAAGTATTTAAGGCAGCTGTTCTTTCATTTTCACATTCTTAAATTACAAAAACATTACAATAATGAAAGAAATCAAAGGAAGAGGGAAGCTGCAGATGTCTCCACCATTATAACTAATCAAATGTTTTTATTTTTTCCATCTCTTCTAGCACATGTCCATAAGTGTAGATAACTTACATGTAGTCATTATAATAACAAAGATACTATTCTTTAATTGTTAAAATTTGGAAAGACCGGAAAGGGATAATTTTTGTGAAAAGTGGCTTCTTTCCCTCATAATAGCTCCACTCTTTATAAAAAATTATTGTTAACCTTTTAAAATACACAAATTTGATACTTTATAGATATATTTTTATACCTGCTTCTTTTTATGTTTATGAAGATCTTGGACTCATACCCTCATAATTATCCTTTTATTTGCTGTTTCATAGCTTCTTAAGATTATTCCACTGATTCTGGTTTTTACTTTATTCAATAACATTGAAGTGAATCATTACTTTATTTATGTGTTTTTTTTTCTCCTTTTTGGATTACTACTGAGGATATATTTCCAGGAGTGGCTGCTATATTAGGGCTGGCAACATTTTTGTGACTTTAAAACCTATTACTAGATTGCTTTCCCAAATAACTGTAATAACTTCCAGGGCCATCAGTTAAATGTGACTATAATAATGTCATCAAATTATGGCCAGAACATAGTTTTATTATTGAAAATGTTTAAGATTTTTAATAGGCCTGAAATGATATATTTTTTAAAAAACTTAAGTTTATGATAGCTAAATCTGTTGAGTGTTTTCTCCTGTATGTATCTGTTAATTTTATCTTTTTCTGTACATTGATGGAACAAATTCTGTATTAATAATGTATTAGAACTCTGGTGATAATAAAATAAATATCTAATCAATTTATCATATGTGTTTGCACACACATCTAGTTTTATGACAAAGGTTAGTTAGCTGTTCAGAAAATCCATATTCTCTCTTCTTACATTTCCAGGCCTCTTTCAAGTAAGGGATATCTTTTTAAAAAATAAAACAGCATGGCATTAAAATAAAAACAAACACATAGGTCAATGGAATGGAATAGAGAGCCCAGAAATTAATCCACATACATAATCCAACTAATTTTTAACAAAGGTACCAATAACATACTTTGGAGATAGGGTATTCTTTTCAGTAAATGTTACTGGCAAAACCAGACACACATATATAGAAGAAAAATAATGAAATTACATCCCTATCTTTCATCATATACAAAATAAACTCAAGATGGATTGAAACCTAAATGTAAGACTTGAAACTATGAGATTTCTAGAAGAAAATGGGTAACATTTCAAGACATTGGTTTAGTCAATGATTTTTTTGAATAAGATCCCACAGCACAGTAAACAAAAGCAAAACCAGACAAATGTTATATCAAACTCAGAAGCTTCTGCACAGCAGAGGAAACGATTATTAGAGTAAAGAGACACCATAGAGGAGAAAGTGTTTGCAAGCTACTTATCTAACAAAGGACTAATATCCAGAATATATCAGGATTGCTTCTCCGCCTTTTGGCTAAGATCAAGTGCAGAATATATCAGGAACTCAAAAAACTCAACAGCAACAAAAACAACTTCCAGTAAAGAAATGGGCAAAGGACCTGAGTAGACATTTTTAAAAGGTGAAATAGAAATGGCCAACAAATATACGAAAAAATGCTTACTATCACTAGCTATCAGGGAAATGCAAATCAAAACCACAATGAGCTATCTTACCTTGCTTTTGTTAGAATGGCTATTATCAAAAAGACAGAAAGTAAAAATATCTGGAGATGATGTGGAGAAATGGGGAACTCATATTGTTGGCTGGGGTATAAATTATACAGCCACTATGAAAAACAGTATGGAGATTTATTTAAAATCTAGAAATTGCCTGCCATGTGATCCAGCAATCCCATTACTGAGTATACATCCAAAATATATGAAATCATTGTATCAAAGAGATAAACTTGATTATTGCAACACTGTTCACAATAGATAAGATTTGGAGTCACGAAGGTGTTCATCATCAGATAAGTAAACAAAAGAAATATAGTATATACACACAATGGAATAGTTTCAGCCATGAAAAAGAATGAAATACTGTCTTTGCTTCAAATTGATGGAGCTGGAGGACATCATGCTATGGGAAATAAGCCAGACACAGAAAGACAAATACAACATATTATCCCTCATATGGGAGAGTTTCAACACAAATGAAACCTAAACCACCAATCTGAACACAGAAAGGGGATTACTAGATACTGGGAGAAGAAAGCAGAACAGAGGACTTTTGGTTTAAAAGAAAATTGAGGAAGCGTGATGTGTCTCATTAATTGTGACAAATATAGTAATATGAGATGCTAATAAAAGGGAAAACTATGTAAGGGGTATATGGGAATTTTTGTACAACTTCACAATTTTTGCTTTGTAAATTAATAATAATTATGAAATAAAAAGTTTTTAAAAATGTTATTTTTCATAAGGAGTTAATTCACTGTTTCTTTGTTATTTTCCATTTGATTTTCTTTTTTCTTTTTGACAAGCCAGGATTTAGATAAAGTCACACATTAAAGATAGCTGTTCTTTCATTTAGCAAGCTCTTATCTCAGCTGGTGAGTCACTTGATCCAAGCGCATCACTCTTGATGAGATGAGCTGGCTCAGTTCACAGAGAAAAGCAAGAGGGAGCCAGCCTCTAGCGAACCAAATTGCTGTGGTCAAGGAAGAACACAGGGATGGGAACAAAGAACTGACTCAGCCACAACTCCGCATCTAACCAGTTGCACCACTTATGGAACATTGCTTCTTTTCTGGGGACTCAATTTCTTTGTCTGTAAAACTGTGATCTTTAAGAGTTATTTCAGCTCTAAAGTTTTATGACTGTGCTCTGGAAGGAGAAATTACCATAGTGAGATTACAGGGCAAAGTAGAATTTTTATATGTAAGAGAAAACCTTCAGGTTTTCAGTTACATGATTCAAACTGAATAATTCCAATAATACGTTAACTCGTCTACATGTTCTTTTCACTTCTTTTCACCAAGAAGTATCATAATACTTAGGTATGTTAAGAACTCGAACCTCAGACCCATAGATAATCCTAGAAAATGTTGGTTTGGGGAATCCTTGGAATGGGCATTATCACTCCTGGAAGATAAGATTAACCAGTCCACAGAGAAAGTCTGTAACTTATATATCATGTGATGACAAATAAATTAGAAGAATCCCACCTAAGAAATGTCCAAGTCCCTTCAATTAAGAGTTTTGTACAACATACATTGTGAAAGAAACCTGATCTCCCAGAGGTTCCTTACATGTATTGCAAGACTTCCCTATCTCTGCTTGCTCTATCAATAGTAAGGAAGTCCTTATGTAGTCTGTGTCATGGCTTTTTGGATCCAGAACGAGCAGAAAGGGACCTGAAACTAAGCTTTAAGTGACCAGAGTATTTTATCTATATTATTTTTGCTATGATTATCATCATCTGTTGACTCATGTTCTATGTTATAGTATGGTTATCTACAGACTTGTCTTATTTGTACTATGAAACTTTGAATTATTCTTGTTTTTATTTAAGAGACAGAAAGAAGACAGTCACAGAGAGCTCCCATCTGCTGGTTCACGCCCCAAAGGCCCACAATGCTGACTAGAGCCAGGATCTGGAAACCTGCATGTGGGCGGCAGGAACCCAACTACTGGAGCCATCACTTGCTAACTTTCCAGGGACTGCATTGGCAGGAAGCTGGAAATAGCAGCCAGAGGTGGGAATTGAATTCAGGCAGTCTGGTGTGGGTTACAGGCATCTTAACCAGCATCTTAACTGCTAGGCTTAGCACCTACCCCTGAGTGAATCTTTTGAATAAAAAGGATACGACTTGATACTTATAATATTTATGGTGCCTAGTCCACAGCAGTGGTGTAAAAAATTGCTAATGAAAAAGCATTTGCAAAGCTCCCAAGACATCTTTGATGGCAATTAATTGTTTTTATATACTGGCTTTCCATACTAGGAGCTTAATTCTTAAAATGGCTAGTGGAGACACTATGGGTAATAAATCCTTGATGGTCACCAAAATAACTTTCAGGAAGTTAGCAGTTGTTTTTTGGTAAATACTCCGTCTTGGTGTTTTGTTTTGCTTTTTTTTTCTTGCAAGAGCTTCTGTCTTGTGAAGACCACCAAATGTCTCAGTACATTTAACACATTCAACTATACCTCAGAAAGCTGCTTTCATGGTGTATTTTGAGTCGTCAGCTGGTACATACTGTACATTTAGCAGTGTGCTTGGTTGACTGACTAATCAACAAGAGCATTCTCCTGAGAAAATGTATTGTCAGTTATAGGGATTTGCATTTTCTACTAATAGAGGCTCCATAACTGTGATAATTCAGTAAAGTATGCATTTTGATAAGTATGAGCTGCTTGTCAGTTATGTTGCCCAGTGTTTTCTTACCTTTGTGAAAGAGCTAGAAAACTCATATAATTAATTAGTTTTCAAACTCTGGATCAGAATTTTATAATGAAATGAACACTAAGGTTAACAGGAGTCAAATGCCTTAATCCACAAACACTGAAGTAGTTTAAGTCACAGAGCTTTACCAAACACATTTTTTATTCCAGAAATAACTAAAATGCTGAGATTGCAAAGTAGACGAAAACTGTCAATACTTACATTTTGTTTCTTTTGTGTGAGGACACCAAGCTGTCCAGAGGAGATGATCAAGTTTGGTGTGCAGCATCAAATGACAGTCATCATATTTTAGAGCTTAAATCTCACTTTGGCCACATGTTTAAGCTCTCTTTTCTCGGGGAGTCTTGTGTGCAGGATTTGACTTGAAGTGAAAGAGAAGGCTAGTATTTTTAACTAAGGGCATGCAGTGCCCTTAATTCTGCACTTGATTCTCAACCGTGTTGGATGATATCACCACACCAGGAAATCTTTTCCTCATCTCCTGGAGTGCCCACCACCTTCCTCTGACTTGTGGTTGAGGCCAGGAAATGTGCCCATTTTCATTGCAAGTTAAGACACTTATCAACTCAGAAATGGACAGCAGTGGATCACAAAATCATATTAGAAGCATCCCACTTTTTTTTTCATTCCAATTTTAGTTTATGTGCTGCCAAGCGAGCACCCACTTTTTTTTTTTCAAAACATACTTCTACCATCTATCTTTGCGTGTTTTACACCTAGGTAAGGGAGCTCTTTAAAGGATAATTATTCTTGGCATGCACAGTTTAGAAAGATGAGTGATTCTTAGAATAATCAGTAACAAGGTTCAGGAAACTTGCTCCCAGTCCAAGCCATGGCTCTCATGGACTACTTTGCAGACTTCTTAGTCACAAGCCCTTCCTTTCTTTTCTTGATGTCCTTAGTTGAATTTTAGAAGTATGTGGCCAATGGATGCTTTATTTTTCTGAATTCATAATGCTCTAACTATATATTGACTAGCACCTCATTGACAAACTGTATTCTGAATTTTCCCAGGAAAGTATTTAGTTTATTTAGTTTAAAGTCTGCATATGAATAGGCAGGCCCAAGTCCAACTTCCTAATTTTGTTAGATAAGGAAAATGAGCAACAGGGAAAGATCAAGTGATTGTTGAAATTTGAACAGTTTGTTAATGGACAGGTATGATGAAACTCAGCTTCTCTACCTTCTGGATTGTTTCTACTTGTACTTTCCAAGGGACTGCTATATTATTTTGTAATTATGTTAGAACTGTAAGCTAATTTCAAATAGATATTGTGGAAGGCCCAAAACTGAGTATAGACTTAAATATATAATTTGGTTTATATACATATATATATATATATAAAACGATTTTGGATGCATAATATATGGAGAAAAACTAATTTATTCCCTTAGGGGAAATGACCCAGCCAGGAAGTCAAAGTTTGGCTGCCCTAACACTTTGTAATACGGATATTTCAGAGGTAAAGCAAGATACTTGAGGTAGGAAACCAAACATTGCCTGCTGGGTATGTTTGGAGGTAAGACATTTAAAGAAGTCTTAGATGTAAAAAACCAGTAACACTTACTCATTTAACATTTTGGCTCTTCTTTTTCATTGTTTCTCTAACTCTTTGGCCAAATGGTATATTTAATGTTGTTGATGATAGAATTTTCTTCTTTAAAAAAAAAAAAAAAAAACTTCTTGTTCTCTTCCAAAGCTCAAGTCTCCAACACAACTCCCTTGTATCTGTGTTTCTGTTTTGCTCACAGACATCCTGTGAGCCTACACACCTCCTGTCTCCTGTATGGTGATCTGGCCCGGGAGCTCATCCTCTCCTCCCTGTGGGCAGCCTGGGAACCCTGATGTCCCACTTTTCTAATGGGCTTTTTTTTTTTTTACAGCAAAAGAAATTCTTCCTGGGTTTTTAATCAACACATCACATTGAAGTCCAAAAGTGGGCTTTCATTTGCTCCTCTTCTCCATGTGAGTACATCTTCCTTATTTCTACATAACCATCAATACAATTGCTTTTCTTCCCTCTCTCTCACCGTGCAGACTTGGAGTGGTTGATTTACTTTAGTAATCTTCAGTATCACTGTTTCCAGACCTTTTGCATAATTCATTTCCCATGTCTTTGAGAATGATTTTTTTCTTTTCTTTCCCCATAGCACGGGAACAATTCAAATACTCTCCTTACTGAAGGCATTAGTAACAGCCTCCTGATGGGAACCTCAGATTTCATCCTATTCTAACCAATCTTCCATAGTCTGAAAAAAATGATTTTGCCTATGTGTTTATATACATTCAATTAATATTTGTTAGAAATATACCAGGTATACATTATCTCTATGAACCTTAAATGCCAACATACAAAGTATAAGGGTTTTTTCTTATTGTTTATGATATTCTTAGCAAACTTGTACTGTGTGTTTACTATGTGTAAGATGCTAAGTATTTTATTTGAATTTGCTTAGCTATTACAATAACCTTATGAGTAGGAACTACATTCAACTTCACTTGTGGATGAGATTCAAGCTTAGAGGAATAAATAACCTGCTTGCCATATAGCTAGCAAGTGAGAGACACAGGATTTGTATCTAAACAGTCTGACTCCAGAGCCCAGACTCAAAGCCATCAAAATATATTAAAACTCCAGTATGGTAAATGAGGAGTCTGAGCATCAAGCAATATTTCATTGCTACCTTTCTGCTGAAATCTCTAGTAGTGTTATTTTTTCCTTTACTCTCAGTAGATGACCTTGCTTCCTGTCTTCTACCTTACTTATCTCTTAAATGTCAGTGTTCTGTGAGGTTCTAGCCTTGGCCTTCTTTGTTGCTTCTAGATGAGTAGCTCTTGACCTTCTTGAGTATTTGACAAAATTTTGGATTTTCCCTCCAGAAAAATGCACATATTTGCACAAGTGAACCTCTATTGCTGGGGACTCTAAAGTTCCCTTTAATCCATCTATGTTCTAGATGGAATAAAGCTCTACGGCTACAAATTATAGTAAAACATAGAGCAATTTGTTTCACATATTCTTGGGCTTTTATAACTGTACCATCAAATCCAGAAGCCAAAAAGGGCTTTTTAAATTCCTAAAATGTTATTCCCAGAAAAAATTCAAGGAAAGTACTCTCTGAATGAAAAGAATCTCTCTGTATCCTGATCTGTCCTTACCTCCAGTAACAATCACATTTGCTTTGGAACAGTAGCAAAATGTGTTGGCTCCTCTTGGTATGGCAAACTCTCTGACAGGCCTGGAAAACACAAATTAGATGTGAATAGTAGATTTTTTTTAAAACACTAATTTATAAATAGATTATATTCAGTAAGTTCATTTCTTTTTTCTTTTTTCTTTCTTTTCTTTTTTTTTTTTTTTACAGGCAGAGTGGACAGTGAGAAAAAGAGACAGAGAGAAAGGTCCTCCCCTTCTGCTGGTTCATCCCCCAATGGCGGCCGCCGCCACCAGCGCACTGCAGCCGGCGCACCACGCTGATCCAAAGCCAAGAGCCAGGTGCCTCTCCTGGTCTCCCATGCAGGTGCAGGGCCCAAGCACTTAGGCCATCCTCCACTGCACTCCTGGGCCACAGCAGAGAGCTGGACTGGAAAAGGAGCAACCAGGACAGAACCAGCCCCCCGACCGGGACCAGAACCCAGTGTGCCAGTGCCACACGTGGAGGATTAGCTTATTGAGCAGTGGCAACGGCCATAGTTAATTTCTAAATCAGTTGTAAATCCATTTGCACACAGAAAATAATCTAAGTCATTATTAATTCCTCCCTGCCCCACAGAATCTGCTTGCTCTAATGTGGTGACATTTGCATAGTATTTTATATATGTTGCGGCGTAAAACAAAACCTTAATCCTCCACCTTGAGTTTGTGGTTTTACTGATGCAGAGGATGGGCAGAGCTGTATCAGTTCTTAATCCAGAAAGGATATGGGCAGCTAAACAAGTCCATTTGGTAGCACATGATGCCAGGAACCCATTTAGACTCTTCTCCCTCCCTCATCACCCACATGAAATGGCTATCATGTCCCATTAATTTTTCCTCTAAAATATACCTGAAATCTGGCCACTTCATCCCATCTCTACTAAAATATCTTGGTTCAGCCCTCTCACCAGAATTACTGCAATAAACTTCTAATGTCTCAGCTTAAACAGGGAGGCATTCCAGGCCAGTTGTGTGCTTGCTAAAGAAGTAGGGTCAAGCAGCAAGCAGCATCCTATCTTTTCTCCCAAAGATGGTGGAATTAAGAGTAAGGACAGAAGATAAGAAATTAAAGGCAAGTATGTTTTCTCCTCTATAATGTTAGAAGTAAAAAATTTGGGAGGGCCTCAGGTGAAGGCATTTTGTAAAAGTGGCTCCCACTCTGGATTATTGCCTCTCGTTCATCCATATTGTGCCCATTCCCAGGAGCAAGAGAGCAGACAATAAAAAATTCCATATCAGGGGTTGGTAAACGTTTTCAATAAAAGGACATAATAAATATTTTAGATTTTTGCCAACTACAGATAGTTCCCAATTTATGATGGCTTGTTTTAGGATTTTTTTGTCATGTGAAGCAATATGCATACATTCAGTAGAAACTGCACTTCAAATCCGGATCTTTGATCTTTTCTAAGCTAGTGATATGTGGTAGGACATCTGAAATGCTGGTCAGTGAAACCAGCCATAATTCCTAGTTGGCCACACAATCAAAGGGTGGGGGGCAAGTGATACTCTACAGTGTGTTGTGGTGCCAACATTTTTTGATTTTGTGTTTTGGTATCCCATCCTGTCTACAAAATACCCATCTTTATGTGTACTTGAGATATTTAACACTTTATTATAAAGTATACTTTGTGTTAGATGATTTTGTTCAAATATAGGCTAATGTGAGTGTTCTGCGATTGTTTAAGGTGGGATAGGCTAAGCTATGATGTTATATAGTATATTTTCTACTTATGGTATTTTCAATTTAAAGTGGGTTTTTAAAAAGGTTTATTTATTTATTTTGAAAGTCAGAGTTACACAGGGAGGGGGAAAGACACACACACACACACACACACACACACACACACAGAGGGAGAGAGAGAGAGAAAGCTTTTCATTCACTAGTTCACTACCCAGATTACCACAATGGCCAGGGCTGAGCCAAGTGGAAACTCGTAGCCAGGATATTCATCCAGGTTTCCCACTTTGGTGGCAGAGACCCAAACAGCTGGTTTTACATGCTGCTTTTCTCAGATCACTAATAGGGAGATAGATTGGAAGTAGAGCAGTTGGGACATGAACTGGTACACATATTGGATGGCAGCATTGCAGGTGGCAACTCCACATAGTACACTAAAACACTGGCCCCTTAAAATATGTTTATTGGGATGAAACTACATCCTAAGTTGAGAAGTGTCTCCTCTGTCAACTAGAACACAGAAATAATCATTGATGACACAAATGAGTAAGTGGCTGTGTTCCCATGCAACTGTATTTATGAACAATGAAATTTTAGGTTAATGTCATTTTCATGGTTCATGAAATATTATTCTGATTTTTTTCAACTATTAAAATGTAAAAATCACTCTCAGTTTGCTGACATTATAAAGCCTTGTGGTTCTTCGCATTTAGCCTGTGGACCATAGGTTGCCAATCCCTGTTCAACATGCAGGAATAGGCAATATGGTACGGCAGATTGGGTTGCTGCTTACACCACCAGCAGCCCATGTTGGAGTGCCCATTCTAGTCCCAGTTGCTATGCTTCAGTTCTAGTTTCCTACTAATGTGATCCAAGGAAGGCAGCAGAAGATGGCCCAAGTACTTGGGCCCCTGCCAATCACATGAGAGACCTGGATAGAATTCTGGGCTCTTCTCTTCAAATTGGCTCAGACCTGAATCTTGCAGCCATTTGAGAAATGAATCAGCCCATGGAAGATCTGTGTATGTGTGTGTGTGTGGCTATCTGTCTCTGTTGCTCTGCCTTTAAATAAACAAATAAGCCTAGAAAAATAAAAAAGAGGAACAACAAGCTTAGAGCTGTGTAAGTTTATAAAAGTCCCACCTCTTTTCAGTAGTCAAATTTCTTTTCTATCTTTTTTATATGCTCTTCCATTTATTTCTTGGGGGAACAAAAAAAATAGAACTAACATTTATTGACCATGAACTGTCTGCCAAGCATTAAGTTAGGAACATTTCATGAATTAACTTAAGTAATTTTTCTAAGGCTATGTGGTAGATATATTTTTCCCATTATAAAAAATGGGAAAACAGATTAAGAGAGCTGGTGGTCCTATTCAATAATTACAGAGCTAGTGAGTGCTAGGACAGAAACCATTTCTGTATGACTACACAGAAGCACGTGGGCATTTTCTCTTTCAGTATAATAATCTGCCTCCAAGCTGGGTAACTAATGAAAAGCAATGCCAAGTAGTTAGTTGCTTATCTCTTGGAAGCTGTCAAGCACTCAGAGGGTTAAAGGTTCAACTTGTGTCTTGCAACATGCCAGTATGCTCTACATGGTATAATTAATTGCAGGTGTTCATTTTTTTATGGTACAAAACTCCATTTATGAAATTTCCATACAAAATTATAACACTTCTGAAATGGAAATTTTTTGAGAGGATTTTTTCTGCCATTTTGGAAGCTTGTGCTGGCTCCCACTTTAACAGCTGGCCAATTATGTATTTGTATAAATGCAGTTTCATCTGGCTCAACATAAGACTCATTATAGTGAATTGAGGAAACAGGAATATGTTGAATCTGGGAATGAAGTGGCCCCAACCTTCCTTCCATGAGATGACTCTGCAGTGGCAGTGACTTTCTGAAAACAGGACTGTACCAAATCACTTGAGAAGCCTCTTTAGCTTCCACATTTAGAAGGAGAGTGGCCCAAGTGAGGAAGTAGTTTTAATGCTCAGCTGGAATCTGACTGAATAGAACAAGATCATTGCTTGCTGAGATTGTCTGAGTATTTTTATCACAGGTTCCTAACTCTCTCTCAGCTGAATGTGTCACCAACTAAGCTACAAAAGATGGAACAAATACTAAGAAGGCCCAGAATTGGGCTCAAAGACAAACGCCCAACTATTACAAAATAGATGCTTTTTAGAGCAAAGACCATAGCATAAATGTTAGGTAGAAAATTAGACCATCTAGAAAATTAAACATTCTAGAATCTAGATAAACTAAATGTTTACAGCTATAAGTACCAAATCTATGGGAACACTATGGAGAACAGAAATGTAAAACATCTACAGTATCATAACATAAACTGAAAATACATTCAAACATAAATTTTGAAGGAAACATAAAAACTGCATCAAACCCAACATAATGATTGCCTCTGTGTGTGTGTGTGTGTGTGTGTGTGTGTGTCATGGAGTACAAGAACAAAAGGAATAAAATAAGTAGGGGAGACTGTGACAATTCAACTCTGCTCTTGAGTTTCTCCATCTAAAAAATGTTTGCAATTTGCCTAGAGTTATTCTATTTGAACAGTAGATTTTCTCTGACAAAGAGGTATCCCATCTGAGTGAGATTTTTCAAAAGATTAATATTCCTCATTTCAAGCCTAACACAAACATTCACAGCTTGATTGCCAATCAGATCCTTAAGCTTGGAAAAAGGAATATTGGCACATTCACAACTTGTTCCCAAAGGAATATTATGATGGATTTTGACAGCAGGTGAATGTCAAAGCCTTCTTCAAAAATTTGCCCTCCAGAAAACAACTGAAACAACTGTAAGTTACCTTGAATTGTTACCTTTTAGAATTTTCAAAGCCCTTTCACCCATCTTAGCTAATTGGAGGTACAAATTTCCCACGAGGTAAGAAAGGTAATACTGTTTTCATTCACAAATAATGTTATTGAGGTTCAAATAACTTGTTTCATGCCCAAGACCACGTGTCTGATACACTAGTGGTAGAAATGACTTTAGAATTTATTTGCTCCCACACAATTCTGTCTCTTCAATTAAATTCTATCCTAGGAAATAGTACCATGTAAACACCACCCCCAACCAGGAGCCTATACCTGCTTCTTGAACAACCTTCTAGATCTTTGCATAATTTGATCTTCACCTTATTTATATCTCTGCCCAAATGTTACCTACTCAAAGCATTGTCTGCTGACCAAGCCTCTCAAAAATATTGCTTCTCTTCACTCTCTATCCCTCAGCCCTATATAATTTATATAATGTATTATTTGATTATTTATTGTCTGTCTCACTGGAATATGAGGTCTGTTAAAGCAGAGAGTTAGTCTGTTTTGTATACCATTA